AGCCACAGGGTGGACAGTGATATACACCCAAGTGCAGCTATCAGATGGGACATCTGTATGTACACCCTGGTACTCCTAGGGGAGAACTAAGAGGAATTATGAAGGCATGAGTCTGGAGTCTGAAGCCATGGGTTTGGTCAACCAGGTAGCTATACAGCAAAATTAAAGGTAGAGAGGTTTTGGCTTAAGAGGAAGAGTCAGCAAAAGAAATTATGCAGAGGAACAGAGCCAGAAAGATTGTTCTCGCAAGATTCAGAAGAGGGATGTCAAAGTTGTTTATGACAGGGCATATGCAGAGGGACTTCCCAGGTTTGCATCCTGCCTCCACCTCTTCAAATGGCATACCACCCAAGTCTCAATTTCCCTGTCTGTATCAATGGGATGAGTATCTCCAACTCAGTGGGACTGCTGTGAGATTTAAAGAAGATAATGTGATCTGTGTTAAAGTACTTAGAGCACCCAGGAAATGCAAACATATACATGTGTATGTTATATCTCTCTTTCTATAGAGCCTAATGCTGCAGGGGTGCAGTATAATTAAGAACACAAAAGTAGAAAGGCTGGATTGAATTGTCTGCATTTGCTCCGTAATTTAGTTGACCAAGTCACACACTCCTTTTGAAAACCCTTATGGGCAAGTATGAATAAGATAGCCTTGGGCCTAGGCAGTCCTTGGGCAGTTCCCAAATGTACTTTGGGAGCTGTACATTGTGGGTGTGTAGGGTATAGAAGAGATGCTGAAGATGGGGTTTGAAGGATAAGAGGGGGCTTATTGTTAGAAGGGAGTGGAGGATGGGGAAGAGATGGGACCAGGTCAGAAAGTGAGAATTGGTAACTGTCAGCTTCTGTACTGTGTACCCAGAAAAGCCAAACCCCATGCACTTGCCATGATCACCTGGGCTCCCACAGGAGCTACAGAGGCAGAGGTGCAGGGAGGGGTATGCATGGGCCAGGAGCCCACCTCTCAGAGGAGAGAGGTATCCATTCATACAGGCAAGTATGGGCTAGTTGGGCTTGCTCGTGATCAGACCAATACACAGCTCTTGACTGTAATAACTCACAGACATAGAGCACCAACAAAAGGCTTTCTTGCGATTGTCTTCCTTTGGCTCATTTTTATATTCTATTGACCTTCTCTTTGTAAGGTGCCTGAAATACATTTGGAAACAAGGTGAGTATAAATATAAGTAGGATAAAAGAGGAAATTATAGTCTTATTTCTTAAGAGAAAAATTACCTGAATTTGGATTAGGTAGTAAGAACCATCATTTATTTATTATTATACAAGAAATGTGTTTTGTTTTTTCAAATAAAGATGAGGCTCAGAGAGGTTAAGTGACTTGCCTGAGGTCACATAACAAATAGTCTGGATTGGAACTCAGTTCAACACAAAGTCTACACTCATAACTCAATCCCCCTAAAGTAGAACAAGCTACATAAACTCTTTGAGTCTATGTTCTGTTGATATAAACTCACTCCAAAACTTAGTGGCTTACAACCATTATTTATTATCCCTCATGGTGCTATTATCCCTCATGGTGCTAGACTGAGGTCTGCAAGGCAGCCGATATTGGCTGTCAGCTGCAACATGTGTATATACGGCCTCTCCACGTAACCTGGGTTTCTTCATAGCATGGTGGCTGGGTCCCAGGACACAAGAAATGCACACTGCTGAGAAACTAGGATAGCATTACTTGATCAGTCACTGAGTCCAGGTGAAAGGAGGAGCGAGCATATAGACACTACTTGTCAAGGAGGCCACGTTTAGAAGCTCCACATTCATAAAACCCATAAAATGAAGACATGTCTATAAAATGAAACCACACAATGAAGACATGTTGTTTCTGTTGGTCCAAGCCTCCTTTTTTCCAGCAACAGAATTCATACTTCCCTTTTGGGGATTCTCCTGTCCCCCTCCACCCTCACAGACCCTGGACTTTTCAATTTGTGAAACTAAACTTCCTCCTTCCTAAGGAGATTTGAGTTCAGTTTCTTTTAACTTGTAACTAGAAGTTCACACTCCATCCATGTAAAGGGGTGGTTATGGAGGTTAAGTAAGTGTAAAATACACCTTTTACACAGCAGATATTCAGGAAGCAGTTTATCATTACTGTGGAAAAATTTTACTATGAAGAATGTGGCCCTAGGTGGAGGGATTTTGATTTACTTGAAGTTAATCAATGACCCAACTGGGATTCAAACCCAGGACACCTGGCCCAGAAGCTTTGGCCCTGCTCTACCACCTTCTGTGTTTCTGTGGCCTCATCAACTGGCTCACTGCACAGTATATAATGTCCTTATGGGACAGGATATGACCTAGTCAGCGTTGGCTAATACCTGACACACAACCACATTTCAACTCCTTACCAATAAAAAAACAACCAGATTATTACATTACTATTTCCTAACAGCCTAAAAACTTTTCTAAATCAAAAAGTGCTCCAGAAGCTACTAAGAAATGTTCTGAAGCCGCAAGTGAAACTAGGTCTGAGACAGACTAAAAACAAATTATGGCCATACTTTGAAGTTCTTCAAATTAAGAGGAATTTGGGCTTAGCCACGTGACGTGCTTTGGCCAACTGAACCCTACAAACATGACACGAACAAGAGCTGGAAGAGCACTTGTGTATCGGGGCCTACTCTGCCTTGCCTGCTGGATGCTGGCAACATGTGGCCCAGCTGGCCCTGTTGTCCAGCCAACCACTTGATGAATGAGGTTATCTTGGAGCAACCAGGCCCCAGGCAATGTGCCAGCTCACCTGACCCACAGCAGAGCTCAGGTAAGTAGAAGAACCACCCAGCTGAGGACAACCCAAATTGCCAAGCCACAGACTCAAGCTAATAAATGTTTATGAAAGGTACTACATTTCAGGGTGGTTGTTACACAAAGTTAATAACTGATATAAAGCCCATACAATCCCTGATCTAGGCCAACCCCTCATACAGGTGAGGAAACTGAGACCTGGCAAAGAAAAAGACTTGCCTAGGACCACAATCCAGTAAACCCATTGGCTGTGACATTCCTTCAAATAGCTGCTATAATCACACATGAGGTTTCAGATCTTGAAAACGTCTAATGAATTAGTCCTGTGGGCACAATCTGGTATCACGTTTCTTCACCATTTCTTTTTGGTTTTCAGGTTCGAAAAATAAAAACTTTTGAGCAGTGGAATGGGAGATGATTTTCATGGCCCCAGACAAGGGAAGGGCAGGAATATGTATGCTGGGTTTTATGGCTATGACCCTCCCCTCAAGGGTACAACTGTAATATCCCCTGGGGTGCCAGGATGGGCATACCATTCTGTCCAGGGTATGTTCTGATGCCAGGGCAATCAGGGCCTCTGGGTACAGCAGATGCTTCCTGCCCCGAAAAGGGTCTTCCTTGCTCATCTTATGGCTCTAGGCTTCACATACTATGAAGCCCATAGCCCTTGCTTTTCTCCCCATCCCCCAGGTTTTGAAAAGTGCCTCAGTCAAGTACTACCAGGTAGGGCCTTGCAGAGTCTGGGAATGTTATTACAGTGCAACGGGCACATAGCACTAGGCTCTGGGAACACAGGAATACAGTACCAGCCCTCAGTGTGAGGTTCACCAAGGATCCCAAACCCCGTCTTTAGACTCTGACCAAGCTCCAGTAGAGTAGTGGTTCCCCACCTTGTACAGATGGGGACATGAACATCTGCCAAGTGTGCAAGTAGGTCTGCTAGAGCTGAGCCTTGGCTTTCTAGGTAGCAAGGAAAGATTGTGGGTTCAAGGATGGTGGGTGTATATTCCACTGAGGGCTTTTCAGGGGGGAAAGGACACTTCCTGTGGACCCAGGACCTTCCTTAGGACGCTCTCTTCATCTCTCCAGATTGAAGTCTTTTGTTTTGACCAAGCTGGGCCAAGCTCAGCCCATTTCCAAGGGGCTATTTTTCACCCCAGGTCTGGATCTCTGAGACTTCTCACAGGTGAGGTGAGGGCACTAGAACAGCACCTTAAGATGAATGCATACTTCCCAGGTAGAGAAAGTAGGAGCGAGAGTATGTGCCTGTCCACCCACAGCCCTATACCAGTGAGGCCAGCCTAAGTGGCCACAGTTGTATCGTCCAATACATTGGACAAGGGAAGATACTTGTAATCTATGACTGGTTCAAAATATAACTGCCGTGGCAGCTGATTCTCTCTTGGGAAGCTTGAATATGGGGGAACTGGACAATTTGTGGGAAAATAAAGAGAAAGGGGGTAAGGGGTGAAGTTAGGATACAAGTGGAGGTCAAGGAACCTGGCCAGTTAGAGAACAGACATAAATGCAGACAGGCCACATGTATGCTGCTGTCAACCCTACTGTGTGAGGTAACTGGAGTTGGGTTCTGTTTCCTCTGCCCCTGAGTGGGAAGCACTTATTTTGTGTGGCTGCGGTGTAAGGTTTGTGTGTGTGGTGACAAAAGAATAGGAGAGACCAGGACAAGCAGGATCATGTACCCCATGTTCAGGAGCTGTCGTTTTACCCTGAGGGTGAGACGTTAGTAAGGGGTTTCACACAGGGAAGGGACAGGATTCAGAAATAACACTGTGGTGGCCAGTGAGAAATGGGGCAGGGAGAAGCTGGAGACTGAGGCTGGTGAGAGGATCAAGTCCAAGAAAAAAACAGTGTCTTAAATGAGAACAGAGAAAGGGAAGAAACAATGGGTTCTAGAATCACTTTAGAGCTGGGAAAGACCAGACTTAGTGAGAAGCTGAGGCCTGGACCAATCACTTGGCACTTCAGCCACCAAGGTGCTCCCATGGGCACTGGCACATCTCACCCACCACAGCAACCCTACTGGCCATTTTCATCCCCATTTTAGCTGTGGAAATTAAGGCCCAGGTGGATCAGTAGTAGGCGCCCTAGACAATGGTCCCTGACATGGAAGAGAGGAGGAGGAAACAGAAGAGGTTATAGAAAATCTGCTTTCTGGTTGGGCAGGAGGGCCAGGGTACCTTCATGAGAAAACACAAACCATCCCATCTCAGAGGAAGTAGGGATCCAATCTCTTTATTGTCAGGGTCCCCTCCTGTGCCCCCCACCCCTCACCAAACCTATAGAAAAACCCCAAGCCTAGGAGTGTCTTGGGGACAGGAGGCAGAGCGTGGGAAAACTCTGTGCTCTGCCCTCTGGTCTGGGCAGTGACAACAGGGAAGGTATGTGGGGAGGGGAGGCCAGTAACTCCACCTGCAGAGGATGTAGCACTGGCTGGGATGCATGGGGTCAGGTGCCTGCTGTCAACTCTCCTCTGGGACCCGCTGGGGTGGCATCCAGGGGTGGGTGCCCAGCTTGAGGCCTGGTACAGTGCACGCTCTTCTTCTGCCAGTGGCCATCACTCCTGTCAGGCTAAGAAAGAGATAAAGGAGAGACTAAGGCTGAGAAGAAAAGTCCCGTGTGCCCTTGATAACAGGGATTGGGAAGAAGTGAGGGCAGAATGATTTTTGCTACTTGCAGACAGAGATACATGCCTGCGCTCTGGCCTGATAATTTTCTGGCCATGCAACTTTGGGCAAGTCTCTCTCCCTCCTCCAGCCTCCAAGTCCTCACCTGAGTCCCTTTACTTCACCTGAAAATTAACAAAGGGAGGATCCCTGGTAAAACAAACTATAAAGCTCCAAGAGGAAAAGCTGCATATGTGGAATTTCCTAAACTTAGCTGTCAAGGAAGTCCTTACTGGCGGAGCATCTCACAGCATGAATGTATCATGTAGAAAGACACCTCTGTCCAAGGCCTTGCTCCACCCAAGCCTAACTCTGAACACCGCCCCAAAAGGATGGAGCACAGAGATGGCAGAGCTCAGTGCTAAACACTGGACGGAGAGTGGGCTTTGAGGCTACATACCACGGGGTTCAAATCTAGGCTCCACCCATCACCTTGGGATCTTGTGAGATATGTGATCTCTCTTGCCCTTCCTTCAGTGCCTCAGTTTCCACATACGGTAACATTAACACAATCACAAATGTGGGGCAGCTCCTGGCACAAAGGGCATTTCCACCTGACAGGTCAAGTCCCAATCCCAAAGTGTGGCACAACCTCACCCTTTGTTGATAAGCAGCTCCCTCTCCTTGCTATGCAGAGCTGGGAATGTAGCCACAGGAGGTCCCTGGACCTTTCCACACACTGAAGATGGCCAGAGCTGTGCCTCTGCTAAGGGTGTTCCCTCAGATGTTTCTCCCTCAATCCTGCACAGGCTCAGCTACCTATAACCTCTTCCACCACACCTCTCTTTGTCTTCCTGGCTCTCCAGCCCGTGCTCCTGTTCACACTGGATGGGAGTCATTTGCATCTTCCTCCAGAAAACAGGAATCTCAGCTCCTCAAGGGTGCAGACAGGCACCATGGCTCAGTGCACGGAGGGAACCCCTGCTGCGTGGGCCTGGCTGGCCCATCTATGGCTCCTGCTCCCATAGGTAGTGCCTCTACCACAAAGAAGTGTGGTAAAACACCTGGGGATAGAGGGGCCATCATTGCGGGACACAGCACCACCCTGTCCTACTCTGTTTCATGGCACACCCTCCACTTCACCCCAACGCTTGCCCACCAGGACTGCCGTACCTGCTCACTGCAAGGCCCCATCCTCCGCGTCTGTGTCTTGGCTGTGATCCTGATAGGGAGGAGGCAACGAGAGACCACACATCACTCACTGCAAGCTCTGAGTCCTGCCCTGAGGCCCAGAGCACACACATCTGGACGCCTCAGAAAGGGGAAGGGACAGACAAGGGAAATGACTAGGGGGCCAGTCTAACAAGGCTGGTTTGGGATCCCAACAGGGTGGACTCAGGGCCCCTTAGGAAAGAGAAGGGACCAGTCAAGTAAGTTCTATGCATGGCAGGAGGCACGTTTCTGCACAGAAAGGCCTCCTCAGATTGGGGTAGGCGCAAAGCCTAGTAGGCTGATGAGCTCCCCAACTCTGGGACATCTAAGCCTTTGTTACAGCCTTTATCAAGACTGCTATGCTCAAAAGAGTAACCTGAAGTATCAGGCTAGGTTCAAAGAAGGAAAAATGAGCTGGACCTCTTAAGTGTTGTGGCCATGAGCTCATCTGTCCTCACACCAGAACTCAGCAGTGATGGAAAAAAGGAAGTCCCAGACCTAGTGATTAAGTCTGGTCTCCAATCCAGGCTCAACCCTTATTAGCTATAAGGCCCTGAGCAAGCTACTCTTAGCTCCTCTGAGCCTCAGTTTCCTCATGGGGTAAAATGTGGGAAGAGTAATACTTTGCTCTTGTTGTTAGGTTGAATGAAGTTAGAGAGTGTGAATGCTTTTTAGTAAATAAGTAATAAGCACACAACAGATACTTCACAGACTCAGAATCTGGTCTACCTTCCCACTTAACATAAGCTCCTTACTAAATGGCCCTCCACCCTCACTGTGAAGAATTTCAGTAGCAGACTGGGGGGTTCCCTTGCTTCCTCAAGAGACAGGCTGTTTCATGCAAGGCAAAAATGGCTTTTTAGAAAATCCTCAGGTAGAGTAGTTACCTACTTCCCTGTGGCTTCCCCAGTAAATCCGTCCTGCTCCCTGCTCTGTAGACCATATATACACTTCCTGAGCCCGATTCTTCCCCTCCCAACCATGTGGAAAACTGAGTCTAGAATGGGCCCTAGACTCAAGGAAGGTCTGCCGCAGCTCTCAGTGGGACATCTGACTGGCCGATGGAATAGGCACTACTCCCTATTCATTCCTCACCTTCCTCACAGGCTCAGAACCTTTAGGAAAAAGGAACCAGCTCGGAGGCCACCCACCGGCCCCTGCTGTGACCTGGAGTGCTAACCCGGGTCCCAGTCCCTCCAACCATGCCCTCACCAGCTCTTCCTCGCTGTGTGTCAGCAGCCCCTCCTCATCGCCGTCATCTCGAGCTTGTACTTCTCCCTGCGGTGTTCCTGCCTCAGAAGCTGTGTCCTCTTGAGGGGGCGGTGGCCGGCTATTGCCACCACTGCCACTGCCGCCACCAGTGCCGCTGCCGCCACCACTGCCACTGCCGCTGCCGCCACCGCTGCCACTCCCATTGCCACTGCCACCGCCACTGCCACCACCACTGCCACTGTCGCCCTTCTTCTTGCCATCTTGAGGGAGAAGGGATGGTGAAGAGGGGAAGAAACTCAGCTTGCAGCAGCTACCTGAGACAACACCTCAGCAGAAACAAGGCCTCAGAATGGTGGGTCCAGGTAGAATTAGAGGCCACAGCTCCTCTCTGCCCCACGCACTATCCTCCCCCCACACTTTGCCCTGGTTCCCTGGTCACTTGAACCAGGGCAAGAACCCTTGGAAGCTGACCTGGGTTGGCCTTCTGCTCCTCGGCAATCTGTTCCAAGCGGCCCAGCAGGGCATCGATGTTGGACTTGATCTGCGTCAGCTCTGTCTTGATAGTCTGCAGCTCACTGCTCTTTACTGGGAGTGGGGAGAACACAGGGCTGACATGTTGATACTAACACAAGATCCTAGACCCATTCTGTCAACTAGGAAGGTAGGCCACTGGCAGGAACTGTCCTTGTCCACAGATGTCTTTTTGGGCAGGGAAAGGGCCATGGCTGCCAGTGGCTTCCCTTGAGACTTTCTGAAGGCTACATTCCTACAGTGACCAGATCACCCTTCTGAACCTGGGATCTCCCCTACCCCCGACTTCTCAATTCTAAAAAGGGACTGGGGATGGATAAGAATGCAGGCGTGGGGGTGCACCTCTGTGTGCACCTGAACAAGCATTTGTCTCTGCTTTTGATTCAGAGCGATGTCTGCCTTTTCAGGGGTATAAATGTGGGTATTTTACACTCGGGTTTCCCGGGTGCTTGGCCACAGCGTGTGCACACCAGAGTGGATGTACAGCGGTGGGCCTGTGTGGACTTGTCCTGTCCTTACTAGAGGAACGATGACAGCATCTCCTCACTGTGCTCCACATCACAGCACTGGACTTTGTGCTAAAGCCAAGCCCCTCCCCATCAAATGTAGCCTTTTCCTCTTAGAAATACATGAAAATAATTCGGTTGTGTTAGAGGTATAGTACTGTGGGAGATTTGTTCCTTATTTTCTAACATAAAAAGAAATGTAATTCTATTATTTTACTAACGACAAAAAATTATTTAGGAAGCAAGTAAGTTACTCACACTTGATCTTGACTGAGCTGGTGTTGATGGCTGTGGAACGGGGAAAGAGCTTGACAGGAATGGTGGTTTTGACACGACGGACCAAAGGGACTGTGACCCTGGGTCGCTTCACGGGGACAGCCCTGGGCACAGGCACTGGTGACAGGCGGCCCCGATAGTCAAAAAGCCTGTGAGGACAAATGGGCCAGAGGCTGCAGCATGGCCTGTGGCCACCAGGGGTCACTGTGACCTTAGGTTAACAAGTATAAGGCTGAAGGGCTGTCCTGCATTACACATCTCTGCTTGCTCCCAACAAGCCCCAGGACGGAGGTAGGGGGAAGGGGGCACAGTAAAGAGAAAGGGCTTTTGCAACCCTAAGAACTGCTGGGATCCTGATTACAGCACCATTCCTACCAGCCAGGCTGGGTAAGGGCAGGTGAGGTGGCAGGTGGTAATGGTTACGGGCTGATTCAACAGAGGAGTAAACTGAGACCAACCCCCAAAAGCCTTCCCTAGATCACCCTGACACCCACACCTGCTATATTCCTGACTCTGCTTCCCTTCAATCAACTGCCACCTCAACCCTTGGTCAGAGTTTGCAAATCTCAGCAGCACAAACCCCCAGGTGGGAAGTGGAGGGCCAATCTCTAAGCCTGCCTGAGCCTCAGTTTTCCCATCTGCTTAATGAGGATGTCTATCCCAAGTTCTTTCCCCCCCACCCACCCCACCCCACCCCACCCCACCCAGGTTGCTATGAGGGTAGAGCATGAGAGAATGTGGTTAAACACCCATGTTAGAAGGTATGATTGGTGAATGGCCAGGGCACCATAACCCTCAATTCAGGGACCTATGACCTCAGAAGCCTAAGACCCTTTTTCCTCATTCTGGGCTCTCCCAGTCACTCCACCCTTCTAATCGACTTCAGCGATGGAGGGCAGGAGGCCCGGGAGAGTATCGGTTCGGCAACTCAATCAGACCCCTCTGCTCAGGACTATGTGCTGCCCCTGCCCCCAACGCCATCACGCAGCCCTCTCCAGGAGGGCTTCTTTTCCTGCTGATCACACAGAAGCTCAGTAGGCTGAATAAGGGTCTTTCCCATCCCATTTGCTGCGACTACCTTTCTGCAGGGAACAGCAGCCCCAGGGGTGTACTGTGGGATCGCTTTCCTGATGACAACCAGGAAACCTGTCATCACCAGGCAATTCAATGCCCCATGCTTTGGCACTCCTTTGTTCAGGAGGCCTCTACCTTGGGTTGGTGATGGCTGGGGATAGATAATATCTGGGAATGCATCCAGTCCCAGACACTGCATTTCTTCCCCCAAGGGGAGGGGGCGGCTCTGGCCTTGGTCAGAATCACTGAACCACAGAATCCCAGAGCTGGAAGAGCCCTGAGGGATCATTTGGTGCAAGCCCATTTCACAGACTGGGAGGGAATTTACCCAAAGTCACACAATCCATTCAGTGGCAGAGCTGAGATTAGCACCCTGGTATTCTGACTCCCAGGCTAGGGCACTTTCAACTATACTGCGCTGTCTCCTGAAATCATTCACAGGTGAGAAAACCGAGGCTCAGAGAGGTTCTATTCTTGGACAGCCTGGGGCAGGCCAAGAGGGAGGGAGAGAGAGAAGTGGGGAGAAGTCTGGGCCAGCCCCGATCATGATTTCCACTCAGGAATGTGGGTGGGGCCATGAAGTGGAGGCCTCAGCCTCAAGGCTGGGGTCTGGGAAGGCCTGGGTGTAGAGGGTGGGCCGCAGCCTACCAGGGACTAATTAAGACCTCTAAAGAGCTGCTGAGGCTCAGACTGAGATCTGAGGTTCCTTCCAGCTGGCTGGGTAACTCAGAATGGTAAGGATATGGAACAGCAGAGGCATAAGGGCTCAAACTCCCTTCACTGGGCCCTGTACCATTTGTATTCCAGCTTGCTGTCCAGTTCCATTGAGCCTCACCCCAGATTTAGGAGGAAAGACAGTCAGAGAGTGGGAGACAGCATAGGGTGGGGAACTCTAGCCTGGGCACCTGCAGAATTTGGCTCCAGTCCCAGCTCTGCCACCAACTTGCAAAGCAGCCTTGGGCAAATGCCTGTCTGCATCTCTGGGCTTAGGTTCCACTTTGATGACTGAATGGGCTGCACCAGCAATCTCTCAGCACACTTCCAGCTTGGCTGTTTCATGCCTGGGCACACCCCTCCCCTGCTCACCTGTCATAGAAGTCGTCCCGGTAGTAATCATAGTCAAAGCTGTAGCCACTGGGGAAACAAAGGGGAGAGGGCCGGGTCTTAGGGACAGCCACTCAGCCCACTCTCCACAGGCCCTCATATCCAAACGCCTCCCCAAATTCTAGGCTCAGCACAACATCACCACCTGTGTCTACTCCCCCTGTGGAAAGAGGGACCAGTCCCTCCCAGACAGAGACAGACGAGACAGAGTGCCCCACCTGTAAATGGCAGATGCTGCTCTCTTTAATCCCTTGGGTCTGTTAGGCTTGGGCTCGCCAGCCATGTTGATGTCTGTGTGAAGAGAATAGGCAGAGTCAGATGCTGGCGAGACAAGAGGGCGCCCAATACATACCACCCTCAAGCAAGCGTGCAGAAATGTATGTGCATATATGAGATACACATGAATTTTACTCACTAAAACAGCCAACAGAGGCCCTCACACATCAGACTCATACATCACGTGGATATGCCTATTTACATAACCATATACATTCAAATACATGTGTGCAAGCTCACAAACATATCACTCATACATACCGTGTGCATCACACATAAGCATTCTCAAGTACATTCATGTAAACACAAACAGATAACACATCCTCACACACATGCTCACATATGCAGGTAATAAGGTCACACACTCAGATAACCAGTACACTCAGACTTGGTTCCAACACCATATGCATAACTGTCCATATGCAAATCAGCTAGCACACATTCATACAAACATTCTACCAAACATATCCATACCTAGAGCAGTGCTTTCTTGGCATGTGATGGGGTCTCGACACACATTTGGTAAATGAATATATGCTATCTGCTTACATACTTAAATATATTGACATACACTACCTATATACATACTAAGGTATATGTCTTCACATTTTCCACATATTCAGTGATATCCACATACCACATACTCAGGAATACGTATACAAATATCCCTTCTCAAACATATACATATACACAGAAGTATATACACATATACAAAGTTGTACACACCCCTAGGCAGGCCACCAGCATGGCCACATTTCTTGTGTATAACGCCAAGGCCAAGGGCACCTGCTTGTTTCACCTTGTGCTCCTGGCACCTCCTCCTGGCTCTCAGAAAGGGTTCTAACCTAAGCCATCTGTAGCTTAATGTAGTAGGTTGTGCTAGTCCACTCAGTTCCCTGTCTCTGGGGAATCTGCATTTTAACTGGAATCATAAGCCTGTCATTAAGACTCACTGTGCATCAGAAAAAGACAAATACATTATGACTTCACTCATAGTGGAATCGAATGAACAAAATGAACTACCAAGCAAAACAGAGACAGGCTCATAGATAGAGAGCAGCCTGACAGCTGTAGGCAAGGAGGGGTGGAGGGACTGAGTAAAAAGGAAAAAAAGAGAAAGATTGCATGGACACAGACAACAGCATGGTTACTTACTGGGGGATGGTGGGTGGAGGAGGGTAGAGGGGTGATACATGGTGGAACAAAAGGGTCACTGTGAAAGCAGGGACAGGACAAAAGTGTTTTTCAGAAGCTTCTACAATTTTCCCCCAAAGGGATTCATCTGTAACTACTTAATTTATAACATATAATGTATAACTATTTAAGTTATAACATCTCTAAGAGGGGGAGGATTGTGGCTAGTGGCGGAGGAACATAAAAGGGACTAAGAGGGGAGCTGGAGAGTGAAGGCCAGCACCTGCTCAGGAGACTACCAGGAGCTTACCCAGGGTCTGCCCGGCCAGCACCCGCCCATTCTCTCCCAGCACAGCCGCCCGGGCATGGCGCTCATTGGCATACTGAACAAAGGCATAGCCCTTGTGCACAGAACAGCCGGCCACACGGCCATACTTGGAGAAGATGGTCTCCACATCTGACTTCTTCACCACAGCTGTGTTGAGGTTTCCAATGAAGACTCGAGAGTTGATGGACTTGGGGTCATTCTTGTTGGTTACGTTGCTTGTCTGGATCTTCAAGGACATGGTGGCCACCTGAAGAGAGAAAGCCACTGTGAGTCTGGGTCCACAGGTTGGGCTCAAGGGCTGCCCATGACCCACATCTTAGCTGCATGGATTTTTTGTGCATTCCTACACACTCCCCCAACCCACAGCATCCAGGTCCCTATTTTTGCTCATGCTTTTTGGCTGCTGAACTCAAGCTAGGGGCTTTGCATATGTTCCCTTATTTGGTAACAAACTACAGAAACAATCCCTGAAAGTATAGTCTTTTTGTTCCCTGACTTGGTACCGACAAAGCAGAATCAGAATATTTTACAAGGGAGAGAACACACATTCAGAGGTCACAATACTAGTCAATGGTAAGGCTGGGATTTGAACCCTGGTCTCCTTAATTCCAATTCTTTTAAGTACTCCATCTTTAATACTCATCTCAAATGTTACCATCCCATACAAGATCTACATGTGAAGACCTTCCACAGGTTTTCTTCTGTTCTTATGGCCCAAAAGTCACATGGTAATTGCAAGTACTACCTGCTACAGACCAGTACCATATTGTGAAAATTGCTCAGTGGGATCCGGATGTGGACTGTCTTTACTGGTATATTCGCCATCTTGAGAGCAAGTCTCACTCCACTCAGCGTGGACTTGGTCTCCTGCTCTCTTGGTGCAACTCCTTTTTGGAGCATGCTTCTCCCAAGAACCCATGAGTATTATCCTTATTATCATCATTCACATTTTACCAGAAACAGACTTCAATAAGTTCATTAACTTGCCCAGAATGGGCATTCAAACCCAGGTTTGTCCCTAAAGCCCATTTCTTTCAACTTTAGCACTATCCTTCCCAGAGCTGAAGTCAATTTATATATTTTATTTCATTTTTTTAGACAGAGGGGAAAACATCATTTTGTTGTTCCACTTATTTGTGCATTTACTGGTTGATTCTCGTATGTGCCCTGACCAGCAATTGAACTGGCAACTTGGTGTTTCAGGACGATGCTCTAACTGATTGAGCTACCTAATCAGGGCCGTTAAAGCCAATTTAAATACTACAGTAAGTCAGCATATTTATCTGAGAACTGTTTTCAAATAAATTCGTTTTTTTGGAGTTAACTATTATATACTTATTAAAATTTTGTTCTTTGCTAGAGGTGATATCATATCTACTCTTTGCTCTTCTTCACACAAGGTTATAACTGGCACAGCCTCCAGAGAAAAAGGGAAAAGGAGGCTCCGTTTCGGTAGGAAAGGTCTAATGTTAATAAGCCTTGGCGTTTCTACTTCCTGGCCCAGAACCCTGCTCTTGGGCATGGGTTGGTGCAACTTCCTTTTACAGCATGCCTATCCCAATACCCCACCCTAAAGCTATTTAAGGAGGCGCTAAAGACCCCAAGCTGTATGTATAAAAACTTCTCACCAGCGTAAGCTAACTGTAAACTCCTGCCTATTTACCTAATATTTTTAGATAGAAGGAGCTTCTTTTTAGTGAAATAGAGAAGAGCTAAATATAAGCTGGGAAATCTGTAACTTCTGTCCTATTAGGGTAAGAGACCGTTCTCTCCGTTTTCCCAGCCTGGAAGCTGGAGTGTCCTGACCAGCAGATGGCATTGTTTACAAGGGAACCATAGGCTGGACCAGAGCATTCTGGTGAACCTGCTGCTAGGGTGGACTTACAGTAGCTCCACAGATACAATGAGGTCAAGTGTGCCATCCTAGGTAAAGAAAGCCTGACAAGGCATTACTACTGATGAAAGGGCTAGTGCCATCTTTGGAACTGGCCTGAGGGACAAGACTCTTCTGGTTATTCAGTTTCCCTTTGCATCCATCCAATCATCAACATTTATTAAGTAGTGATGGACATAACAGGGATTCATGAAAACACCTAATACACTGTCCATATGGGGCAGGAAATGCTCGATATTTGTGGGTTCCCTTGGGCTCCCCATTCCTCCCAGCTCTCTGACATCCCTCTCCTACCTGGATGACAAGCTACTAAAAGGTTAATTCCTTGTCCATCCATGGGTATACCAGAAGTTCGAGGAGTTCCCCTATGGTAATCAGATAACTCTCTTCTTGTTGGTTCAATGCAAAACCATGAAATTTTGGCCCTGGGAGATGCTAACAGCTTTGGCTGAAGGGAACCAACCAGGCCTGGGGTGTGGACCAAGATAAAAAGAACAGAGGAGGATTATGGTTCAGAGATCTGTTGATTACTGCTGGCTCTGCCACTGATCTGGTAGGGACATGGAGGTTCCTGAGTTCCCTCAGACCTCTCCCAAAAGCCTCTAGCACCACTAAGCAGGAAGCGTTTGCTGAGCAACTGATAATGAGATCAGCACTCACTGCCTGGCTGGTGAGCAAAGTCCTTTGGCTTTGGCCCTGGCAGTAACCAGTCTTTTCGCCTCACCTGTGGTTTGGACAATGCACATAAAAGAACTTTGTAAACTGTAAAGCTCTAACACTGCCAATTACAAGCCCATTCTAGATGAGAGTCAAGGTCAGACTAAAGCACATTGTGAATGATACCAAGGAGAGACAGGCAGAAGCCATGTCACATGAAGGTCAGTTTTCTGATCTATAGAGAGAAAACTTGGGAAGTGTATGTATGTGACCACTGTGGGTGAGGACTCTGCAGAGCCAAGGAGAAATGTCCACCTGAAGTATGCTCTGTGTACCCAACCACTATATTCCCCCATCTAAATAGCCTCCGATCTGCTTTCAAGGCCTGTATACTCCATGGAAGCAGCCTGTGCTGCTGTTGGGTGTATTCCCTAAATTCGAGAGGATAGGTATCTGTGGGCTAACAGAAAAGCTCAAGTGTCCACAAACATGTCCATGAAGTTCCTCAGAGGGGGAAATGGAGTTGGGGTGGAAAATGAACAGGAAGCATGGCCAGACTAACTCTCCTTGAACTTCTAGGTTCAGGTACAGAATTCCCAAAGAGTCAAGAATTCTAAACTCAGACATGGTCGTTCAGGTTGTTATTAACACAGCAATTTGTTAGCTTCATTATTAACTTTCAAATACTGAGACATATAGTACGCGGGTCTCCATGTGTACTCTTGCTCTGCCTTACAATGTTAAAAGACAGGCCTGACAAAGCCTGGGGCACAGTAAGTGCTCAGTAAGAGTTAGGAATGAAGAAGTGGAGATAATGTACTAGGAGGTGAGGTGAGAAGGGCTAGCTGTGGTCCTGCCTTAAGTTGGGGGGGAGACGACTGGGAGCTGAGGTTCCAGGCACTTTTTCTGGTCTCTAACCCAAATATCTCCCTCCACAGACCAACTACCCCAACTCAATCTTTCTCGAGTAATTCTTTTTTGGCTCTTCCAAGTTTTCCTTGCTTAGAGTGGGAGCCCTAGAAAATATTGACATCCTATTCAGCAGAAGCTGCTTGACTTGATAAGCTATTTTCCCCCTGGGCTAAGCTCTGCCTCACAGATTAGCTGTGTAATTGAGAGCAAGGTGTCTGCAGCCCCCAGAGGTCCCATGTTTAGCAATGTGCTAAAGAGAGATGGGTACAGGGACTGTTCTTGGTGATGATAGTAAAAAAAAGGAGGTAAGATGGGAAGGGGAGAGAGAGCCAGACTTGTTCCCTGAGACTCCTGTAATGTCAGATTAGCAGGGACCTTAGTGAGCATGGAGTTTATATGCCCCCACTCTGAGGAACAAAAAGGAATGGAATTGGCCAGTGAGTAGTAAGGCCAAGAACCCCATGGGTCCTCTGACTTATAAATAAGTCTAGGGTCCTTAATATTCCATTTTTCCTTTAGGCCAGGCACTAGACAAGCCCTCAGGACAATGAAGAGCTGGGAGGGGGCCGTCTATATATGCTATCTTTGAGAAAACCGGGGACTGGCTCCCAAGTAAGTATCTATACCTTTACCTGCTGGAAAAACAACTGCTGCAGAAAGGTTGGATCCCTAAGCTAATTAACACCCACTAAGGACACAGACTTTGAAATGCAATTTACAGTTCAAAGGAATGGGCTAGTTTCTCCAGGCTAAGAGGAAATTTGGCAAAAACAAATAATTTTTCCCAGTTGAAACATTTTACACTGAAGCTATGTTTTGGAAGACAAGAGTTAAGCCTAAACATGGGGTTAAGTGACAGGACTTTGTAAAGGTAGAAAAGCCTTAAAAGGTAACTCCACCCCCGAAGTTTAGGTAAATGACACCCCAGGAGGGCCATCCCAGTAAGAATAGCTTCTAATTACTGAACGCCAACAATGAGTCAGAGCATTTACATAACTCTCATTAGTTAATCCTCACAACAGCCCTGAGGAGGTATTTAGATAGGGACACTGGCAAAATAACTGATTAATAGAACAAAGCCAGAACAACCCAGTCTAACTCTAAAGACCTATGCACAGAAATGCCTTTGGTACTTATTCCTATGGTAAGATTGTGTCACCCTGAGCCAGTCACACCCTCTCCTCGGTCCTCGCCTTCCCCTTTTCTACTATAATTCCTCATACTAGTACAGGATTTTAGTGAACAAAGACAGTTTATATCCTTGATCCTTACATTGTTGGTTCCATTTTATAGACAAAAAAGCTGAGGATCAGCAAAGCTAAATGACTTATTTAAGGCCACCCAGCTAGTGAAAAAGGTAACCAAGGGACTTGAATCCAGGATTCTTGTTCAACACTCTACAAGCCACTGTCTCAGAAAGTTTACTCCGTCAGCTCTATAAATCCTCCTCAACACTGGATCTCATTTTCTTGAAATGGTCATTTCAAAAGGGGAGTCACTACTCTTGGTCCTAAAGTTTCATCTTCACCACTATCACCACCACCACCACTGCCACCGCCACCACCACTGCCACCGCCACCACCACTACCATGCATATACAATGCTATTTAGAGCCTCTGTCTGGGCCAGTCCTGTTGGACACCACTGGCCTTATTTTCCAGCACAAGGATGAGCATCACCATCAGCCTGTGGCCAGACCTCTGCCCTTAAATAACCCTGGGGACATTTGGATAGTTTTAAAGGAAAATAGTTATCAGAAACAAGAAGGCTATTTTTGAAGAAAG